AAAATTTTAAAATGCAATAATGTTAATATATATAATATATTTAATTTAAAAAACGTATTCTTTAAAAGCAAATTCTGTCGAAATATTCAATGACGATCAACCGTATGCAGGATTGAATAAAAAAGATATTACACAATATCACATTTAATCAAATACGAAATTCGACACGGAAATAGAGTAAAAACGTTTTCAAATTTTTCGGAACGTAAGTAATTGCAAAAAATCCATTGTACCTCACATATATTGGCCATGAATGTTAAGTAACTATTCGTGCACAACATTTATAAACAATAAGAATCTTTAAAAATAATATTTTTTTCCAAAACTCATCATTGTTACAAATGAAATCATTGGTAATAATTTTGCTTTGATTTCATTGTAACTATTATGATTTTATAACTTTATTTGACGGATACGAAAATCATTTACAGATTTACACCAATTTAATAGATCACACAATCGATAATAATGTTATTACGTAAATTTTAAAATCGACATTTTACTTCTTAAGTTTTACTTCTTCGGCAAGATAAACGGAGAGTGGTTTAATGAAATTAGCCAGGAACTTTTCTAATTAACTCGCCGCGGGGCTATTTTATCTAGGAGACGTAGTTGAATATTCCACGGAACCTCGATAGACTTATTATAAACGGTTAATGAGCCAGTTATCGTATAACCGAGAAGAAATTTCAGCGAATATACATATATATATGTTGTGTATGACAAAAATATTATCCTTAAAACTATCAAATATTAATAATATCGTCTAATAATGTGCAATTAAAATAAAATATTTATACGAAATCATATATAGATAAATAAAATTATACATTAATTTTTTCATATTTCATAACCGAGATAGTCTTGTTATAAAACGTATGTCATATTTTAAATTACTTAATGTCGGATTTTTGAAGTTTTGATAAGACAAGACGTAGATATATGAATCTTTTATAAAAACGTCTGGTTTAAAAAAAAAACAGATAAATGAAAAAAAAAGATATAGCGGACTTGAGATATTCTGCAGATATACTGAACGTTGTAATATGATCTAAAATGTAGTAAACGCGAAAGAGTAAATATAAAAAATGCAAGATAGAACTTTTTTACTGAGTATTTTATTTTTTAATAAGATGACTTTGAAAATGTATTTCAAGCATATATGCTCTCAAATCGCATTTTCCAGATGTGCTACACGTCGTATAGGAAGCAATAAATTATAACGTTCAGGTATTCCATTAAACTTGAAACAGAACATCATCGTACAAACAGTAATGTTGGATAAAAAAGAAACTCATATGCAACAATTAATAAGATACATTCATGTGTTTAAAATTAAAAGTTTACAATAATCGCAAGATACAATTCAAACAAGTTCTCTATTATAATTATAAAGGTGTTAGAAAAGAAATTTATAGCAACAATTTGGATGGATGAAAAATAACTTCTATAATCAGCAGACAGAATCCACCAAGATATCCCATGATCAAAAGGAAGAAGGCCGGTAAAATATCGTCGATATCAAGTTGGGAATGGTTTTCATCTTCTTTGTTGGAATAACTTTTGCGCAATGTTGCCTCGTTTGACCAATGTTCAACAAGACCAACTTGAACGAGTATTTGGATCTGGTAATTAAATTCTTTCAAATATGGAAAACCTTGTCGGGTGACAAAAGCCAACGGATAATTGCCCACGGTTTCTTTTATAATATGACCGTGTCCTATATTAGAACCGCGGTGATAATTTGTCAAATTCAACATCACAACAAGAGCTAAACTATCATTCTTTCCCTCCACAAGATCCGCGAACAGCTTACTATAATCGTGCCGCTTGAAAATAAAATAATTTTCACGAATTATTCGTCCAACGTCGTCATCCATGTCATCTTTGTCAGGCGTTTGTAACAAATCCGCGAATTGCTGAGTCCCACCTATACTTAGTCCTGACTTAACTATCTCTTCCGCAGTCTCTATCTGCATATCCGATGTGCTAATTAAATAATCAGCTAACGATCCTAGATACGCCTGTGTGAGAAAAAAACCGAACAAAGTCCAAGATATAAATTGAATTCTGCTGGAAGTTCTTGTCGGCTGAGACACCGGCACACTGAAAATCAATGCTGTGATATCCAAAAACGTAATGTCACGAATAAAAAACAATTTCACGAGTCCACCAACAATCAGAACGCAAAATATAGCGTACCAGATATTCTTGTCGAATGGAGCTACCAAACCACGTAGAGAAATATTTGTTTCGATCGGTATTATCCACGAGATTTGCACCATACCGTAACAAGTGGTGTATGTCATTTTTCGGCTTGAATTCCACAAGATACCACCAAACACTAAATCGTCAGTCGCGTTATAAAGTCTCAGAGATATCTCTGCGTTCATCGGAATCTCACGTATCGATTCAATCGACTCTCTGTTCAGCTTGATATTCAAGTTCTTTGCAATTTCTTCCACCATTGATCCTTCTACTCCACCGAAACGGTTACTTTTGTTGTCGAAACACGTGAATGGATAATTATCGAACATTGCCGCGTTTACGGTATTAGCATTGAGTTCTGTTTTATTTGCAAAAAGCTGCCATCGAATTGCAGGATAAGCTTCCTGTTCACATCTGCCTGAAAATGCTGGTTCGACAAGTGCGTACGATTCGTTGGTCCGGACCGAGAGGCTACTAGCGAGCAGAACCGAATCTCCGACTGACGCCAATATCTGGAGCTCGAAAATCGATTGCAGTGACATTTGTTGTACCAGCGTACCAGCTTCTATCAGAAAGCTTTCTTTATCGGCGAACAGATTCGTTAGCACTACTATAAAATTGCAGTTGTGCTCGCAATAATTGACAAAGGAGAAATTGTTCACTTCGAAAGCGATTCCGTTCTCTAACAGAACAACAACATTTGTCAAAGCATCGTATATTTCCATTTTATTCATCAGATAGACGTTTAATTCGTAAGCGACGCTTGTCACATATAATGCATTCGTCAACGGTTCTATGACATCGGAAACGTCTTCTAGCACATTAGGTAGTAACAGTGTGATTTGTTCCGGATTTTCGAAATATTCTTTGATAAATGTCACCGTACAGGGTATTAAATATTTTAATGCTTTGTCACGCTGATTTCGGCGCTCCGTAAAATTCTTCAAAATAACTGATCGATCGGTCGTACGTTGTGACGATACCGTCGTAACAAAAGCAATGAACATTAACGTAATAAAAAATACGTGACGTGAATAATCTTGCAGCCGATTAAAGTCAAATTTAATATTATCCATGTTGCCTGGACTATTACACTTACAATTAGTCGTTACACGCGTATTGCATCAACAACTACTTCGAAATGCAGCGATGCAACGATGCCGTGTAACACACTACTCGGATACCCAATTCGCGAAAACGTAATAGCATAGATGGAACAAAGAATGCAAATATCACGTAATACCACGTTCGTGCCATCATTAGAAAGATAATCTATTTATCATCCATTTAGCGCAACGTGGACTACTTATCCATACCATCGATACATTATACGTGTGTACCTCCACGTGCACGTATAGAAAAACGATATGTATTTGTGTATGATTTTTTGAAATAATTAAAAATTAAATTATTAACAAGGAGAGACACCTAAAATCAGGTATTAAAAAATTCTTCAATAAGTTAAAAAAGATTTCGCATTCTTTTACACTACCTTATCGAAATGATGCACATAATGAATCGATCACGTGTTATTTTCATCGGTGATCTTATGCAAATATTCGTGTACACGATACTTGAAAGAAATGTAGCAGTCATGCAATTCTGGTGTTAAAAAGTACATTCGGCGTCACGACATAATTGCGTCGTGGCGTTTTACATAACGTAGTACTTGTCTACGTCGCATAGCGCAAATCTGATTAAAGTATTAATTTGCAAGATGCAGAATGATTCATAACCGTATAAAGAAAGCATAAAAATTCATACAAACACAGAAAAAATGTTACGGTTGCTACAACCGGAAACAAAGGTCATTTTCGGTTATCAATATATTTAATTGTAATAATCGTAAAATGGATATATCTTAATATTCATAACTAAGATACGTACGTATGACATCTTACGGTTATCACAATCGTACTATAATTCTTACAATAAAAAAATATATTGATGGTCGTGGCCACTACAGCCGATTTTTCCGCGAATAATATTTTTCTACCATAATACCACCACACCGTTCGCAATTTAATTGACGATGCAAGACATATCATATTTTTTTGTTTCAGAGCTTTCGTAAGAATTCTGTGCTATTGTTGTCCTAGAAAAATGAAACGGCGATACCAGCCAGCATTTAGATGTAAACCAAGTCAGGTGAGTTTAAATTACGTTATATACATATATATGTATATATATATATATATATACATTCATTGCTTTTTGAATGAACATTAATTAAAAGCAACATTAGAATGTTGAATAGCATAGCCCCAAAAGTAATTTATAATTTGGGTCCATTTCTATTTAATACTAGAACAATCTTGCCTAAATTCACACACATCTAGTGTTGATGCCCCTCATTAATTACCCTTGCATAAGCAATTTAAAAAAGCTAAAAAGCATTTTATTTACGAATAAACACAAATGTGTGCTGAAAAATCAGAACAGGCACTTTGATTCAAATGGAAAGTATAATGTAATTAAACTAATTTATACAACATTTAACATTTTTTTTTAACATTTTATGTAATTTAAACATTTAATTTAATTAAACTTACAACATAGTTATTAAATAGCACGTATTTACAGTTTCACGGTGAAAAGTGCGGTAAATTGTATTGTTAATAAACCAACATTCCCTCCATATAATTTTGTATAATATAACTACCGCATGTATTTATTAGCAATTTTTTATTAAAATATTTAGAATACGTCACCTGTAATTCTGTGCTGACGTAATAATAGAATAGAAAAATGTATACCTATCTTATACTTTCGATGAATAAGCGTCAATAGGAATGCTGAAAGGAACGAGGCATCACAATCTTATTAACAATTTGGACGACAGGATACTATTAACGCTAACTAGGGAACGTATCCAGTATATTGCTTTTTTCAGAAATTCGCATCCGGACGATACTACTCCGCGTATTCCCTTCATCACGTACGGGGGAGTCGAGAAAATTCCGGCGAGCAAACCTACATTTAACAACGGAATATCATCGCGAGCTGGTCATCGATCGCTGATCGTGGAATCCCTCGAGACCTTTTCTTTATTTCTATTTATCGCTTATCCTTCGTCCTTAATACAATATAGTTATAAAGCAGTATATAGTTTAACGATTGGCAACTCCAAAATAATCATGATCCTCTGTCCGTTTTCCAAGACCCTTACATATCAAAGATCAACGAGCATCAACGAACATCAACGTATTCTTATAGAATATAAATTCTCGGTATGTTTTTACTAGTAAATGTGACGTTTGATTTTAAATATTTGCACCTGCACATGGCACTATTCATTATCTAAGAATGCACTTTCTTGATATACATATAGATACTTTCCTCGTGCTCGGGTATTCACGTTTATATATAGTTTTCTTGATAGGTGATTACATCTCGTATTTTTAATTACAGACTAACTATCACTTCCGAGTGATACGATCGTAACAAAACATGCGTTTAATGCCTATATCAAACTAGAGATTGCGATTGAGATTAAGATTGAGTTTGATTAATCAAAACTCTCCTCTAATACGAATAAACAGTTATAATAATAGAAGACTATACGTCAATGTGCGTTTGGCATCTTGTAATTTTATTTAACATCTATTGCTGTCGCGAATATATGGAAGTTTTTCGAAACTTTTCTAAATATAAAAAACTGCACACATGCGTAAACAGTCTGAAATTCTATATTCGCAATTTTCAACTATAGCGAAAAAATATAGTTTGAATAACAAATCGGAACTTTAATGGAATACAAAATATACGCGCATATTTATTTTCTTTCGGGTTTTATAAGGTTTCCCTGCGATATAAAAGCCGACGAACCTAAAAATGATTTTATCCGTTCGTTACACAAAATCTCGTAGATATTTCGCGCAAGATGTCATACATTTATATTTCAAACAAATTACTTCTGAAAGTTCGCCTATGATCAAGGACCATGAAGCGTACTGTTTGAAATATGTGCAAGTTTAATGATATAAAGAACTCAAGCGCGGATATTAGACACGCTCGTAATTCTGTAATTCTGTAAGACGTTCAGCTTTTCATTCAAACTACTTACTTGAGTGCCTAAATTTTATATTTCTGTATACGACAAAAACAACAACTGGAACGCAAACGCATAATTTAAAATTGTAAATATTTTTATGAAATATTTTTTTATTGTTGGAAGTTACATTTATGCGACGTATACGAGAATATAAGGAACTGATGATAGCGTGATAAACGTGTGGCGGCCATAAATCATCCAGTACTCGCGTAATTACACATACCGAAAGATAAGATATTATATCGCGAATATAAAGGAAAATTGATATATGTCCGCGTTTGAAAAATCTAAAATAAACGTGCGACCTCGTGCTATCTCCAATAACCTACATAGATACTTTTAGTTTCGCGATCGCGTTACCAGAAGGAAAGTCGCGGACACACGGGATATATCGGATAAAAGTGGGAGAAGACAAAAATAAGGAGCATCAGCTGACCTTGGGGAATTCAACACCCGATAGAACAAACGAGAAAACTCTGATACGGTCACTATCCCATGTGGCAGGATAAGACAGGACAAAAGTATTGAAGCAAGCGCATAGAACTGTATACTTTCCTTGTGGATTATCGTGTAAATATACGTAACTACACCTACATAAATTTCGAAATTTTTCTCTCGAATCGTACGCGAAATATACAGTAAATTCTTTTTAACAAATTATAATTTTGAGCTGTATTATTGATTACATTCGCGAAAAAATATCGATTGTCTAGTAATTACGTCACTCATCCTTATTATTTAAAGGCGAACAGCCTGGAAAGTATATATGAACACGAATGTCGGCGTGACGTTCATCCATTTTGACCAATTTATTTACTTTGTCGGTAAACTATAAATTTGAAACTCGACTCGTCCGCATTTGCGGTGGCATTTTTTTCACGGCTGACCGAATATTGAATGATTTGCTTTACGGCCAAGAGCTATCGAAAAACCGTTTAACCACTTAGACCCTCCCTATTCAGCTGAGGTTGTCTCTTCGACCGCACTATTCGCACGATTCGGCGCAAAGCCGTGTGTACACGGGGTATGAGCGTGAAGTGTAAAGCTTGTCGCTGATCCGTGGCGACCTTTAAAGGGAAGCAACGAGCGCGGAGAGATTGGTTGCGTTTGAGGCGAAGCCGATGGATCGATTGTCCCTAGGACGACGACAGGAGAGCTGGTTGTCCCGTCGAATAAATTAAAGTGTTCGGTTTCTATAGAAAACAAACGCAAAATCTCTAAGAAAATTAACTTAACGATTACAAATTGAAAACTTCTATTCCCGGTAGGATATAAAAGTACAATAAAATGGTGAAGATTATTTTAATAATCGTTTTTGTTAAATTAATCGATCCAATGCTTCAAAACATTTTCTTTGTATTAATGTAAGTGATTTCAACATATTAAATTTGTAAATCTAATGTGACCCCAATAATTAATACAAAGGAACAATTTTAAATTTGTATTAGCTGAGAATAACTCCAAAGCGAGTCGAAACGTTCTATACATTTTTTATATTTGATATGGAATAAAGGATTTATGTACACAGATTCACTGATTATTAATTTGCGTACTAATTACCACGCTGCACTCTCATTCGTCCTAGATTACTGGAATTTATGTTTTGAGTCTGGAGAATCCGTTAAGAGAATACATCTGAATTTGCTCACAAATTAAATTATTAGATACGTATTGTACTTCTGCCGTGAATACATGTCGACCATCAATAATAGCTCACAGCTTTTTACTTCTCACGCACTAAGCACTCGCGAATGGCGGACACGTTAATTTTTTAAACTGAAAGATGGAAAATGTGTGTTATATTGGAACATATAGAGTACATTGGAGTGATAAAGCACGAACAGTCGAAACAACACGATGCAAAAAATGCTATCTGTGTGAATTCACTGCTTTGTTAGTTATCGAAAATCTATTTTTGTCCCAATCGAAAGGTACATGTATATATGTATGTTTTTAGAGAAATGAAGGAGAACATAACAAGTTTACATTCTATCAAATGTGTAAAATCTAACTGTTAATTGAGTAATACGTTGAGTCTCGTTGCGGTGAATTATTCTTCAAATGTCAAACAACTTGATGAATGTAATTGTTTTGTTTCAGTATATCTCCGGAATGGCGACGGGAGGACAAGCGAGTAATGTGAGCTATAGTAGCGTCAGTCAGAGCAGTGACGGCGGCATATGCGCGCCCGGAAGTGCTCTTCCTAGCAGCGGTATGTGACGACACACAACGGCCCGAACAGGGCCACGTCGAGAACGAGCGATTCGATTCCGTGATGCGTGAGTAAATCAAACGTGACTCGAAAAACGTTAACTTTCAACAAAAACTAAGAGAGTCTTTATACGTGCGACTTGAACTCACCGCGCTTGAAATAATATGGTATATCAAGAGAAATCTCATCTCGAATACAGTGCTCCAATGTGCTCCAAGACTACGATTTATCATCACCGAGACGCTCCTGCGGCAGAAAGGAAAAACATTGTTAGCGATGTAACAATAACAACTCCACGAATGAATATAGATCGCGAAATATGTAGGAAGCGTGTACTTAACATGGATTTTTCGTAACTGCTGCTTTCATATCATCACGATTAAAATAAATTGTTGGACTTTCGCTCGCGTAATCACACTAATGAGCAAATTAATGCCTTGCGAATATACATACATACGTATATATACAGTCACCACACGAGCTCTTGAGGAAAAGCTGGTGTAAAAAGCAGCGTGGGGTAAAATCCGACTACGATTACGACTTGGTCAGCTCTGGGCACAATGCGTCGCAAGAGACCGAACTTATAAATCTTCTATTTGTGTTAGAAAGATCTTCCAGGAAAAATGTCCTTACATGTGCAATTTTACAACACTCGCACAATCTCTCGTAATTTCTCATCTAAAAATTGGCTATATATCGACATGGATTAATACATTACTGATTAACGATTTTCGGCAAACTATTATTATTAACGGTATTAATGGTAGAAGTATATAATGCAAAAAAACAATTACATAAAATGAAATTAAATAACAATCGCTAGTACGAGATTCTTTATCTAACTCTCTCTCTCTCTCTCTCTCTCTCTAATGCCGTTGGTGCAATTAAAGCTGATTGTATAAATTGGATATCCGTGACAAATCAAATAGTACGACTATTTGATGAAACTGTTCGATAGAAAAGAAATATGACAGCGCACATATACGTATACACAATTGGAAATAATAGATACAAATATATAAAGAAAATTTTGTTTTGAAAAAAAAAAAAGATGAATGTATATTCTACAAACAATATATGTACATACATATGTAAATGTGTGTGTATGTATATTTCGCTTGTGAGCTACATGCTACATCCATCTTTCTTTCAAAAAAAGTTTTCCTTGTGAAATGTATATACTGTAGACTTCATTGTTTCTTCTTCATAAATGTAAATACATATACAAATAGTTTTGCAAAAACAAACTAGTCGTGTATATTAAATAGCCTTCAAGATAGAAAAAAGGTTAGAGGTAAAAGTAATGTTTTAATTCGTTGCATTTTATTAAAAAAACTCTAGATGAAAGATCTATTAACCCGGTTAAAAAAAAAAAAACAACTTAAATATATTACATTTTCGCAGCCCATTCTTTTCATGATAACAATACGCAATCCTATTGCCTAGATTGTCGTGTTTCACGTCAATTAACACATCATACAATTCTTTTTCTGATAAGCAATAAAAATAACAAAAAATTTCTATATAAAAAAGAATTACAGCTGTATTTCTATTGCAATAAAATAAAATTATCCTTTAAAATTATATTTTAAAATTATCTTTTTAAATAATATTTTATTAATTTAAATATATATACATAAATTCTATCAAAATGATGCAGAAAGTCTCTTTAAAGATTAATGTGATGATATTTTTACTTTAAAGCATGCAAAGCATGATTGTCCCTTCCGTCTTTACGTGAAGTAAGAAGTTTGTTTTAAGTTATGCATTATAATATTTTTATAAAAAAATCTCTTATATGCATTCAAAAGAATACTCTGTAAATTTATACACGTCTCTCTTTGCCACTGAAGATAATTTGGCTTTTGTCTATGTAATAGTGACTACGAGGGACCAAAAGGTTTTAATCTCTAACTTTTTTTCTATCGCTAATATTTTTCGAAATACATGACTTTTTTGCTTTCTCCATAAAATGTCTTGCAGATATAAAATATCTACAAAGACTATTCAAAGTATATTTATATAAATATTTCGTGATTATATTAACACGTTACAAGACTAATTAATACTGTTAAACATTTGATCGAAAAACACTACGTAATGTAGCAAATCAATTTTAACAATCAGAAAAAGGTAAACAACTGATAGATCTGAAACAAATATAAATAATATAATATATTGATACTATAGTTTTGTGCGAAATCAGTATTTTACTATAGTTTCGAAAAAAAAAAAAACGAAAACGAATCATCACTTTCATTACTAGCTTGTAATGTAAGCATTCCAATGACTGGCAATAGATAATATTATCATAGACATATATATATATATATATATGTATATATATGTATATATATGTATATCTTATGTCTATGAATATTATAGATATATGTGTTGTGCGTGGAGTTGACGATAACATTTTAGTCTTAAAATGATCATAGCTAGTGTTTTATTTAATTTCGCTACACGCACATTAAGTACTATTAATCGAAAATGCATATTATATTAAATTTAACAAAGTAGCAAATATCCTAATTCTTCTTCTCCGAGCTTCCGATATTTTTCTACTCAACATCATCTGCGCTATATTTTAAATCTTTCACACAAATTAATAGTTTTTAACGGATTAATAATTAAACTTTAGTGAAATAGTTTGTTTTATATTAAAAATCTGAACTGACAGGTCAATATGTAAAAAATAATTTAAAACATAACAAAAAATCATACGATCGCTCTTTCAGGGAATCTATACGCCTTTTTTTATTCTATAAAAATATCATCTAAAATATCATAAACTGTTATGACAAATAAAAAAGTCTTTACTTTTTGAATAAATATAGTCTTCTATGTACATCAGGAGTACGGAATCTATTTAGAATCTTTTAAGACTGCACGTCAGTACCTCCAAGAAATGTGTCTGTGTATAACGTACTGTCCTTTTTTTTATAATAAAATAATAAAAATATAATTCCTACTATTGCATTTTTACTTGTGTCTGTCCTATACACACTTCCTTTTGTCCTAAATAAGAAAAAAAATAAATTGTTAAAAAGTTTAACAATTAAAGAAACAAATGGTTAAAAAAAGATTTTGTTACGAAGTATAAATAATATCTATCTAATATCTAATTCTTTCATTTAAATGTCAATTGTTTATATATAAATATATTAGTATTTTTGTTCAGTTTCAAATATTGAAAGAAAAAAAGAAATTTTTGATAATTTCCTGATCCTTGTCTAACTTACATAATAGCATGGAAGAGAACCACAAAAACGTAGATATTATCCTATGAGAATTTTGGTACACGAAAAAGGCCGGGATGACCAATCTCAGGTTTCTGGAAATAATCTCTGTCCAAAATATATATGTAACAACAAGGACCTGTTCGCGTTGAAGTCCTCAAAGATGTTTGCATTTAAACTGAGATAAATAATGAAATTAATGTATTTAAAGAGAGAGAGAAAAAAAATGCAATTGTAAAAAGTACAAGCAACGCGAACGGACCTATATTATATTTATTTTATGTTAAGCGCAAACACTTTTGAGAATTTTATCAACGCGGATAATCATATTTACGTGTGATTTTATAAGAGAAATCTGATTGGATAATTTTATTTATGCATATGTTTATGCGGCTATGCAAGCTAAGGTCCCTAAATGTTAAAGGGAGCATTTATATTAATCACAACCGCATTCTCTTTTTATAGTCAAACGAGAGAGGAATATTCAATTGTAATTGGTCAATTGTTAGATTACAGTATACGACACACTGTTACGGACCAATATAAACGCTCTTTAACTATGATGACTCCTGCATACAGAACGCGGCAACACTTGCCTCGCGGCGAAAATTGGCGCAATAGCCTCGCCTGCTTGTAAGTAGTCGAACTTATATATAACTCTTGCATATTAGACGCGAAAACGCTTGTCGCATGATAAAATACGACGCGGTAATTAATGAACATATTAATTAAAAGCTGTAAACTTATTGGCTACCGCATCACATTTTGCAGCGCGGAAAGCTTTTCCGCGTCCAGTATACAGGAGCCAATAAGAACATAGAATGATAGGCTAGTAGGGACAACTTCCAACGCGTTGTCGCGTTCTGTGTGCAGCTGCCATGATAGAGTTCCTCTAGTAAGGAACTCTATGCCATGAGGGTACATTCTGTTCCTAGTGGAGGAATGATTGAATTAAACAATCGAACGTTTAAAATAACGCGTTGTCGCGTTCTGTGTGCAGCTGCCATGAGGGTACATTCTGTTCCTAGTGGAGGAATGATTGAATTAAACAATCGAACGTTTAAAATGTTTAAATGATCGATTGTGAAACAATCAAACGTTCAAATGATTGATTTTGTTAAATAACTCAAAATGAATAATTGATTTTACATAATTGGCTGTTTCTCCACAGAAAAATGATTGTATACAGCATAACGAGTATTTTACAGGCCCAAGTTTTTCTTTGGTGTAAAAATTAAACGATCGAACAAGATCTATAATATAGGGAGTATATACCGCATATATATATTATTGAAGAAACTGTATGTACGTTTATTCCTAGAATCCTCGAAACAGTATGCACTATTATGATTATATAATCAATTAACAAAAATGAACTTCGATAACGAAACACTTAACACGTTAAGATTTTTAATTCATGTTATGTGCATTGTAGATTTTCAGTCTGGCAGTAAATTTTGGAACACTGCTTATATATCTAGTGAAACCGGCCTTTATATTCCGATTAATCGAATCTAAAAATATTTGAATGTTCGATTTAATCGGGTCTGAAATAATTGGATAGCTCAATCGAAATAAAATTAATCAGATAGCTCATTAATCGAGATGAAAATAACTGAAAAAAAAAAAAGGATTATTTCTACAAAAAAACATCGAATTTCGATTAATCGAAGCAACATTCATCACTGTCCGTTTCACGCATGATGTGCATAATGCATCATTTATCCTTGTTTAACATTTGGTGAACAACCAGAATAAATTATTCATAATGCGTGAAACAGAGAATACATCCCGATTAATTTATAATTTTCTCTGCTGATCGCAGCCAATGTCTGTTATTGGACAAATGCGAATCCGCCATTAGTTTGCTTTACTGTATTGTCCAACCTATAGAGAAAATTAAATTTGTTTGGTTAGCAAACCTGCCTGATATTGCTTGTTACCTGTTACTATTTTTATGGATAGGTTAGGTTAGGATTAGTGCATATGTGATACTTTGTTTCCGTTACACAAGAACTGGATAGAAAGTGATTGACTTGTGATTGAAAAAAAAAAATCAAAAGGAGAATCTTTAATAATTGATTGGATTCGTCATCAAATGTATATTAAACTCAGATATGATAGATAACGTTACGAAAAATCATAAAACATGAAGATGAGTGACAGATATACTCGTCGTACGCGTGTCGCTTAGATGTAATGAAAATGACGTATCCCGGATTAGTATTACTTGTCGGAGTTGGAGTTGGAATAGCGACTTTTCTGTATTATGTGTTTACTGAAAATAACCGCACGGATGGATTATCGTATTCGAGAAACAACAGATCGTCCGAAGATCATTACGAAGATCGTTCTTGGTCGGCATCGTCGCATCCAACTGAAAAGTACTCAATACATATACATAAGTATCATTACTTGCCCATTAATGATATCATCTAATTTTCTTTTCTTTGAATTTACTTTCCATCTTTTCGCAGATATATAATTCTCCATAACACGTAGTAGAAGAAACATGGTAGCTTTTGAGAAACAGAATATTGCATTATTATAGAAACACAGTTATATATTGTATGTTTCTACAAAAAATATTTACTTTCAGTGTACTATTAAGTAGAAGAAGTTCATCAAATTCTTTGAAAAGTAATAAAGAAAGAAGAGACCTCGCGACAAGTAAAGATGATATAAACAATTGTTCAATCTGCCAATATGCATTAGTTGATTCGGATGTAATACAATTACATCCTTGTAGACATAATTTTCACAAGGATTGCATTATTGAATTGACAAAATATGATCCTGGGGTAAAATCCGAAAACATACTAATTAGATATAAAACTTTTGAGGCATGCATAAAAATTTATGATTACACTTGTTTATGTTGCAGGCCCTTTGCCCTAATTGCAGAAGAAAATTTAAACCCGCGATATAAAAACACGCATCGTATATTATGCGATACTGTTTGAATCATTTTCTACGGTTGTTTACAAATATTAATCATTACGTGGTTGTTTCACAATTTTATCACAGTTGGAGTATTTTCGCGATATATTCAAAGCAATATGAAGTGCACAATCTTTTTATATTAGATATCTTGTTTCTCGTAATCGAGAAATTATATATATGTATAACCAAAATTTCTAGTTTTTCGATCACATGCTTTGCAAAAAATAGGGAATAAAATGTTTTAAATTCTGCTTGTAAACTTATATTTTACATATAGATCTTTTAGAATATTATTCTAAATTTATTCTCTAATTGATTACCATTTCTAATTACATATTTGCAATAGTATCTATCTATTGTAAGAGAAAAAAAACAATAATACAATATTTACATCAATAAGAATATACAAGTCTAGAACTGGTATCGTATAAACAAAAGATTTGTATGATTGCAAAGTCTTAATACTTTCTATCAAACAGATATGTATGTATAATTATCTCTCTTTTTAGTATCAATTTAATCAAGTAACTTTGTTTTTGTTACGCTAAAATCGTGAGAGAATTTATATCAGAGAAACATAGGTAATCATCTTTATCTTTAGCTCCCCAATCAAAATATTACAGAAATTTCAGTTACATTACTTAGGAGTCAGGAATTACAATATCTATCGAATGGTACTAAAATAGTTGACCGTGCTATAACTTATAAGATTAGTCTTATCTCCCATCTTTATATGATAAAGTAATTAGTACAAGAGAAATTACATACATGTATACATTCACATACATGTGTATACATATACATCATAATTATACAGATATGATTATTGTACTAATATATCTGATGATTGTACTGACAATGAATATATAGCGAGAGATGCGATATGTACGTGTAATCGATCCGCTTTTCTTTTCGGTTGTCATAATTAAGTTGAAATAACTTTTGCGTAAGGTATCGAACTGCTCGCGCCTACCTATGTATCCCGCAATGTGAGGCGGCATGTATGTGCGACGCGCGTATTCTGTAACGTTTGTCTAGTGAACGGCATGGAAAGCGAGGTAGTCACGCTTTGGTCAGTAATCCGGGAAGCGTTTCCGTTCGGTCGATACCAAAGAGAATCTCCGTCTCTCGCGCGTCTATGCTAAGCTGTTTTTCTCGCATAGCCGGTAATCGCGAGTTCAAAAAAAAAAAAAAAAATGCGAAAAATAGTGGCAAAAAAGAACGCGGATCGGTGATTATCTCTCGGTCGCGTTCCTTCTTCCAAAATGTATCGATGGAACGAACATGACAGGATTATTGTTCGTTATACTTATCGTAACTCACGCGGTTGCAGGATCGCGACTATCCGCGGCCAATGAGAAACGAGGTATGTATCTAATTGTACATCGATATAAACTGCGAGTGTAGCTGAACGAACATTTAATCCGTCCTTTTTTTCTCTCTTTTTTTTTTATTTAATGCTTGGATACAAGACGTGCTCATCGGGAGATTTTACATCCTCTCGTGCGGTTCACTTCGAATTCGAGTACACCTTTATTATATCTAAACGAAAAACGAATCTCGTGATTTAATAATTATATCGTAAAACACGATGCTGGATTCTTTCGATCGATTGTGAATTGATTGTTATTCGATCACGACATTACTTTAAATGATAATTGTTATGTAAAGCTGCGCTTGTAATTATAAGTTGTAAGAGGATTTGAAAAAAGAAAAATATACTGTTTGTCGAATTTATATACGAGTGGCGGATTGCAAAATAAAATTAAAAATAAAATAATGTTTACTCACGTTTTTTTTTTTTTCGATATCCTATTATCCTTTTTTTAGATAACCGATACAACAAATTATTTAACAATACAATCTGTCGAGTACTGTATAAATCGATCAGAATTGCACGATGGAATAATATAATGCGAAACTACAATAATAAAAATGTTTTCTTTCGACTTTATTTAATCAATGACGAAATAGTAGCGAAATCCAATTTACGCTTAAAATTTTGAAAAGGATCGCAATGAAATAGATACACGAGGATATTTCCTATCCATAAAATGCACTCGTATTTATTCCGTGTGTGATAAATGCACGCAGGTTGCAGGGTTAAATATCGGCTGTGTCCCATTTCTGGACCGGTTCCACACGATCGTCAAAAAGAAGCAAAGCGAGTGTAAGCGGATTGAAACAAGTTGCGCGTTAATTTTCGATTTTGTCTGTGCTTCGACTTCTTTAAAAGGTACAACACAACAAACTTCCTAGCTTATTTCAGAACGCCGTGCCGGGCTGTATCGATTGAGAAAATAGCCAGAAAATAACGTACCTACGGCAAGCTCGCCTGTCATTCATCGCGTTGAATTAAAACGCTCGCTAACGATATTCTTGCATAAATGTATGACTTATATATCGAGTTATCGAAGATGAGAACCTCTCCAGCGTGTGCAACACGAGCCTATTAGGAGACTATTAGCGAAACTAGACTGCGATAAGCGTTAAGTGCACGTTTTAGTTAATTAAGTCGCGCGCAACTTTTTTTGCTCATATATAATATATAAACATTATCGTTACGTCCTACACGACTTATTTGTAATCCTATTTGTAATTCGCCGCGTTAACGATCGAAATCGACGCGATTGGATAATCGCTCGAAAGACTTTTTTTTAAACTTTGACTTTGACGCGAGAAACACGCGCGTACTATACGAGGTAACACTGATGTGAAGCACAAGAAACACCCGCGCGGAGCTTGTTTCACCTTAGACTCCCGTAATGGGGTTACGAGAATCTCGCGTTGACCTACGTGCCCGTTTCTCGCCCGATATACAACGAGAACAGGCATGCACTTGAACCGAGAGTCAGAGATGCGCTCGATCCCGCGCGTATATTGCCATGTGTGTTGTACAAACACGCGACTGATATTTATATACATTTTTATTTCTTGCACGCATTTCACTTGCGATAGTTGTCTCATTTGCCAATCTTATAATTGTTAGTAAGAAGATTAGTACGAGATTGGGCACCTTTAGTGTGGCTTGCGCCTGGAGAACGATTCTTACCACTCGGTGTAACCGAATTCCTCGATAACGTACAATCGGACCAGTATTACCTTCGCACTAGAATAGACGTAGGTAAATGTTCGAAATAGCTGTGACAAATGATATAAGTAATACTTATATCTCATTTGTAGAATAAAATGTGTTATTTTTAATTACATATGTATCCCAGACAGCACACATATTTATACATATAAGACTACTTGTTTTGAAATATTTTTGTGGTCTCAGATTGCACAGATCAGTACATTTATTATAAATATGAAATATTTATTGTAAATGTAATAAATGCATAAAAAGAAAAACTCAATAAATCCTAGTAGAAAATACTTATTAAAAATATTTATTTATATTTGTCATAAATATTCTGTCTGGGATAGTATTCTATACAGAGTCAAGTGCCATGGAAAATTACTGACTAACATTTCAAATAAGACAATTTTTTGACAGAATCCTTATTACAAAATCGATCGTCCTTCTTGTATGGTCGAAGGCCCGCTGGAACTGTGCCTGTCTATGCTCTCGTGAAAAATTGCATTTCCAAAGACACGAGGCTACGTACAGCAAGAAATAATACTCCGATGTTGAAGGCTTTCGAGGAGCGAAACGCTTTCACGTTACTGCAGGATCCATTTTTGACTCAACGACCGACCAACAGTATCAATGATCTTAGAGCACAAATTATATCGCGAGAACAAATGCGGCAGGTAAAATACGCGAAAGTATAGGCAAGAACTCAGTAAACAACTAAAAATAATGTAAGATTAACATTAAAATTTACGAAAAAATTTAACTGAAATTATTCTGTCTTGCTGGAATTTCACTAGAAGTGAATGTTTCAGTTAACATACTAAAAAATCGTTAAAACTAAACTGAAATTTCTTTGAAATTTTGCTGAAAATAAATTTTTTAACTAAAAGCCGCTGAAATTAAACTGAAATATTTTTGAAATGCTGAAATATCTCAAAATATGGAATAATTTCAACAAATTTTTTTCCACCACGGGTAATATAATTAATGGAACATTTATATTATATTTATATTGTTGAATATAAAATTATAACATATTGATTGTTATATCTATTTTCGGTTGGTGGAAATAAAACAACAAATAAAATCTTTTCATAAATTCATAAATTTATATAATTTCATAAATTTCGAATGAAAATGATAGAATTTATAAACATTATTATACTTATACACATTATTGCCTGTTATTTCTATCACTTCCAAAAGAGAGAAATAATGATAATTGTACCATTTCAAATCTAATCACGTTCTCTTTTCTTTCACGCGATTCATTTCAGGCGGCAACAGTGCCGCGATTCGAAAAGGTCAGAGAAGAGAATGGATGTCAAAAAGTGCACTTTCACGTGACCTATTGGATGTTTTATCCGTTTAGCGAAGGAAAAACAATTTGCGTATTGGATCTTGGATTTTTTGGCAGCTGGCCCATACCTACCATTGCTGGCATGTGCATAGGTACGCTTAAAGAATATGGTAGTCACATCGGAGATTGGGAACATATGAGTCTTTATTTCAAGGTAAATCATCTTTAGCAATTCTTCAAAGTAAACCTTTCATCCGTTATCATCATTCACACGAACATGCCTACCTATAAATACGATGTCGTCATTTAGGACAACGAGTATCCTCTGGCAATGTATGTATCGGCACATGATGTCGGTGCATTTTATCAGTATGACCCGCGAAATGGTACTTTCGTCTACGAGCGTCAAGAAACGAGAAAAGGTCTTTTCCAGAAGCCAACATTTCCTGAAAAGGTTTATACCGCTGGTGATTCACACCCGATTTTATTTAGTGCACGCGGCTCTCACGGGCTTTGGACAGCTCCAGGGAAGCACAAATTCGTTCGAGTACCTCGTCTGTACGACGAGAGTGGATTCGGAACTGCTTGGCCAACATGGAAAAGATTGGAGTTGCTCTTGGAAGAGGATAATGAGCCTTTACCAGGTTGGATGACTTTTAAAGGCAAATGGGGTAATCCCAGCAGCAATTGTCATCCACTAGCAAGACTAGGTTTTAACATTTGCGAATTTGTAGACGGTCCAACTGGAATTCCTATGAAAAAATTCAATTTTCGATGTTAAGATCTACTATATCGCTAAAGTCAATTAAGCAAAAAGACTGAGACGCGTCGTTTCAATTCGAATTTAAAATGATTGTGATATATGATAACGAAGTGTCCCATTTTAATTGTCTTAAATATATTAGAAAATATATAAAATATGAAAAAATGTTTTAATTAAAAAAAAAAAAGAATGGTTTCGACGTATTTTGGTCACGTTATTTATTTATTTTTTCTTTTAGATAGAGGCCCAAGAAGATATATAGATCACTTCCGTTTTTTAAAAACAAAATTGTGTGATTTTTTTTACACAATATAATTTTCAAAATTATTCTGCATATAAAAATATTAAAGCAGTAAATCAATAGTTTACAAGAATTTTATACTTTATTCTCGCATATATTAGTCCAAAAGTAAATTCCCCTACTTTAGGAAAAATAAAAAAAAAAGTTTAAAAATCTAAAAAAAATTTTGTTCTTATTATATTTTGGTTATTTTCCAAAAAATAAACATTTTTTTAGATTTTTAAAATTTTATTTTTCTATTTTTCCCAAAGTAGAGAAACTTACTATCCTCGTATTTACATGAAATTGTTATTTTTTTATACCTTTATATCTTTACCTTAATACTTTTATATAGCAAATAATTAAAGAAATTCTATTAAATCTTAAATATCATATAAGACTATATATATGAAAAACACAACCAATGAGAAACCAAGTCTTAGCTGGATCTTAAGTGCTTGTATAATTCCGTATAAATATATGTGTATTTTTTTTTAACTATGCGCCGAACAACCTTTTGTTCTTGAAACGCAAACTCCTGCAGTAATATCACGAGTTAAATTGACTGGCAATTAACAATCTTTATGCTCTTTCCACATCTTGGATCGATCTTAATAATGTTGAATGACATTAAAATCTGTAAATAAATTCTTATTGCGATCTTTATTTAAAAAAATTATGTATTATGTAAAAAATTCATACAATTTCATTTTAAAAAGTACAAGTGATCTTTATATTCTTTTGGCACTTCCATCTCAAAAAACATGATCAAAATACCCCTTCGAAACCGTTCCTCTTACATTTAAATATTTTTTCATATACTATATATTTTTTAAGATATTTACCTGGAGCAATTACAATCAGACATTCTGTATATGTAATATAGTAAATTGATAATGTGATTTTAATGAGAATGCCAAAGATGATATTGACAATACAGGGGAAAACTTTACGTCTCAGTTTATTCGAATGATTAATCTTGATCTACATGAACAATTGAAAAGTAATTTAGTGCCACTGATATTTATTTAGCGGAAATTTCGTTGGAAATTAACATCGATATCGATATAAAATGATGACAAAATAGAAGTTGTTTAATACAATTTGTGTGTACATAATAAGCAGAAAATAGTGGTATTATAGCTTTTGCAGACATTTTTCGCGCGTGATATATTCTTAAGAACAGTAGGCAAATTATCTTCTTTCGTGGAACTTCGGCCATTTACTATTGCATCGTTCGCTGCAGTCTGAAAGATCTTTTGGCTATGCTAAGTAGTTTGTTTATTCGAACTTTTAAATAGTATTTAGCACTTAAATGCTTAAATATTTATCATTTAAAGACAGCTTGATAATAAGCAACATTATTCAGACATTTCATCTTCGTTGGTTCCTTCTATGGCAATACTGCGTATGCCGTTTCTCAACAATGGTGTACCCTTATCTTTACCTAACACACGTGCATTCAGTACAATTTTCAGTGGAGTACCTGATGAACAACACATCACTTCAACATCCTCCTTTAATATCTTCTCCTTATGTGCCAATAGCTCTACTTTTAACCTGAAAAGAATAAATTATTACATTAGCTAGATCAATTTGAAAAAGTGTTATACTTGATTAAAACATATATGTAATCAGTGTTATATATACTCAATAAGATATACATAAACCAAGCATTCCCATACTTTTCAGTAGTGAGGATAAAGCTGAAAATTGACAGTTTAGATGGAGGGGACCCATGTTATCTTACTTTATCCCATGGTGTATTCTTTTCAACTAATCTTTTTACACCATTCATTTACATTTTCTGTGACTAGTACTATCAAGAGCATATAATCTTTCTCATATATATAAGATCGGTGCAAAAGCTCTTGCTAAGGATAAATATATCTACATGTGCCTTAATACGACTTTATCAACAGACATCAACTTGTGAGCTTGTAACAAAACTGGGAGTTGATCATTCAACAATTGTTTGCCGTTTAAATGCAATAGGAAAAATCCAGAAGTATGAAAGTAGATGCCACATGAATTATCCGAATGCGTTATTGGCAATTAATACAATATCTGTCTTTGTTGCTTGCTAGGTAAAAAAAGAAGTTTTGTAATTGGAGATGAAAAATGGACATTTTTGATAACCCCAAAAAGCAAAAATATTGAGTAAAGCCCGACCAATCAACACCATCAATACCACGTCATAATATCCATAGCCATAAGGTTCTGCTGTGTATCTGGTAGGACTAGGAGAGGGTGTACTCTTCTATGAACTGTTGTCACCAAATCAAATCATTATCACAGATCACTACAACAAGCAATTAAGGCAACTGTATGGAGAACTAATTAAAAAATGTTCCCAAATAGCCAGCAATCATTGCAAGATCATCCTGTTGCTAGGCCATATGTTGCTAAAGAGACCAAGGAAGCATTGTTAGAGTTGAAATGGGATGTTCTCCCACTTCCAGCTAAATCACCAGGCATTGCCCCTTCTGATTATTATTTGTTTAGATCAAAGCAACATGGCTTATCTGGTGAGCTCTTCTCAAATGCCAAGGATATACAAAAATATGTCGATCAATGGGTTGCCTCAAAGAATGATTCCTTTTTTCAACGTGATATCCGTATACTGCCAGAAAGATAAGAAAAAAATGTAGAAAATGATGGAAAATATTTTGATTAATATATAATGTACTGATCTTATTGTAATAAAAAAAATTGCAAAAACTCGGCAAGAAGTTTTGCACCAACCTAATACATATATGCTGTTGATTCACTCATTCAAAGTAGAATAAAAAGAGGAAAACGTGGAAAATGACGTAGCATTTGTGACATCAAGAGTCTCCAAATTATTAGACTTCTCTTTTAAGATAGAAAGAAATGTTTTACTGCCAACTTCTAACTATGAATAGATGCTTGGTCTATGTATATTTGTGTAGTTGATTATACCTTAAACCATCTTTTTCTTGTGCAAAATCAACAATGCGACAATTTGCATTATGACTTTCTACAATTACCACTGGAGCTACTGTCTTTTCTCCTGGATGAATACATGTGTTCCATGGTACTGAAAATTCCACGTGATATCTGAAATAAATATATAATATAAATATACATGTATTTAAAGAGATCAATATATTCATTCTCTTTCCTAGTATATTTTTGTGTATATATATTAGAAATTTTAATAAATAATCGTAATTATGATAGAAATTAATAGTTTGTTTTTAGCATTTGACATAGCAATCATAAAATACATAAAATAGATAATATAAAATCATAAAATATTTATATAAGTTTTATATAGCAAATAACCTGTGATACAGTTGCAAGAACCCTAAATGAGCATCTATATAACCATGTCGCTGTGGCTGTATCATAATATTGTTATCTTTTCCAAACCCGCTTCCACCACTAAAGTGAACATGATGCTCTAAACATATAAGATTTTAGTTTCAACATTATGTATAATCGTTAATAAAGAAGAAATAATAAAATACCTTTATCTTCCATGTTCCATAAAATAGTTTAGCAAATTTAACAGTTGTAATTTCATACTGTTTTTCAACAAAATTGATAAAACCAACTGCTTTTAATAACTGACGATGAAAAGTGATGTAAAGCCAGGTCTGAAATACAGAGGTTAAGGTATATGCATAACCGCATAAACGTATCATAATAAAAATTATCCAATCACATTTTACGTGCATCTCTATAAGGGAAATGCGATTGGATAATTTTCTTTATGCATGCGTTTATGCAGCTATGCAAGTTGTGTGGACATATAGCTTAAAGGTCCAGATCTACAATACATATTTTAAGCCTTAAGCCATAAGAAATTAACGAATTACAGTCAAATTCGAAAGAATAATCGACTACGATTCGTCCATTTCTTATAGCTAGGCTTAAAACTCTATTGTAGATCCGGACTAATCGAGATTGACTGTCAACCATAATTGGTCAATTCTACTAAACAGCAAATGCGATTGGTCAATTAAATCCGCAAACACAATATATGTAGTAAGTTTTAAACCTTAAGAAATTGATCAATCACAGTCGAACCTAAGAAATATAATCGACTTTGATTGGCCAGCCTTAAGGCTTAGGCTGCGCACAATGGAGAAACAGATATTAGAAATTAAAATATTAACCTATCAGATACCAATTACACCGGAATACACGATTCTAACTTAAGAAATTGATCAATCACAGTCGAATCTAAGAAATATAATCGACTTTGATTGGCCAGCCTTAAGGCTTAGGCTGCGCACAATGGAGGAACAGATATTAGAAATTAAAATATTAACCTATCAGATACCAATTACACCGGAATACACGATTCTGATAGGTTAATATTTAATATCTGTTCCTCCATTGTGCGCAGCCTTAAGATTTACTACTCTATTATGTTTGTGAAATAACGGCCGATTAAGTAATTGGTGAAACTGCCTTAAAGGCCGCAGCACACACTTTTGCATAATGCATAAACCATATACATAAAGAATTTGATTGATCCATTGACTCATGCATAAGAAAATGGACCAATGAAATTCCTTATGCACATGTTTTATGCGTTATGCAAAAGTCTGTGCTCCCCGCTTTATAGCTCGCGCATACAGAACGCGGTAACGCTTGCCGCGCGACGGAAGTTACCACGAGCTAATTTCTGATATTAACTAATGTTTTTTTATAATTGATTTTTTGACCAATTTTTTTAGATAATATCTATTTATCTCTCCCTCTAGCTATTACAACCAATTAAATATATTCGATCTTATATAAGTATCAAATACCTAGCATCAGAGTATAGTTATCAAATCAGTGTTGGAAACTGTATAATCTGTCCTTGAATGTTTAAATCTTTATTTGAATTATGATTATTCGTAATGATAAAATGTATATATAAACTAAAATATATAGTAAAATGTCGCAACTATCGTGCTAAATAATCTTTTTATAACGGGAGAAGGACACCTATACTTTATTACTGTGACAATATAATATCATATATGAAAGGAAATTATATAAAATCAGCTATATATATAATGATGATAATAATGTGTGTGCAATGTGTGCATGCTTAGGCGTGCAGTATGAGATAATCGACTCCCAGAATAATTAAACTCTAATGAACGTAACAGCAATAATTCCAAGAAAATTGTATACGCGTCCGGTAGATACTCATCTTTAGATTAAGCAATTTATTTTTCGAGAATAATTACAAGAAAATCAAAGAATTTATATTTATTTGTACCGAAAAAAATATCAACTGTTTCATTTATTATTTTACAGGAAGTAGTTCTATTGAATGATCTCTAAGAAAAAAAAATGAGAAAAATCGCGCATTTTGTTCCATGTCTTAATCAAACACAGCTAGAATAAACATAGCTTTTAATAACGTCAATATGTTAAGCTAATAAAATAGAATTATAATAACGATGCTCAAGCATTAATTAATCTCACTTCGTATTTTCTCAATTAATGTTGTCTGGAGACACGGTAGTGTCTCGGCGCTAAACCAAGCGCGCGACACTGCCGTGCCTCTTTTACGCGAATTTGAGAAATTCGGGGAATTGAAATGATCATATCTAAGTAATGGCTGAACCGATCAAGTTCTATATACGCGCAATCGATAGCAAATACTTAAATTGTATGATAAAAGTGCTTCCATTTTTTGTCTACGTGCCCTACGAGCGGAGATATCGCAATGTAAAGTCCGAATCTGTAAATTTTCGTCATCATCATCATTATTAGCTGCGATAATGCAAATCTGAGGCGTCGGAGTGCTCTTATATTATAGCACTTATATTATATGCACAGTATAAGAATATACATCAAATCTGCGCGGCTGAACCGAAAACGGGGCCTTGTCCCTACTGTATATCCTTATACTGTAGCATATGACACGTGCACTGTAGAAAAAGAGCACTCCGACGCCTTGAAAGAATAACAAATATAATTCGGGTACTCCCCCACGCATGTTGCTAGAGAAGAAATCAAGGAGAGTCATTATGTCGCAAACTATAAAAGCTCAGGACACTATCTTGTGATTAGTCAGTACCTCTTTGATCACAGGTTTGAATTCCCATCGTGCTGAAAAGAAAAATCGAAATGAAAACAATTGTCATCTTGTTTGCCATTTCCTTCGTCGCCGTCTTGGTAAGATTATTTCTCCGCTAAAAAATAATCTATTTAATTTATTTCTCTATAAAATATTCTACAACTTATTGTTAGTATAATTAATTTTCATTATTACTTTAATTCAATTGAACTTCCTAATATTCGCATACATTCTTAAATTAAAATTCTATTGCCAAAGCTCTCTAATTTGTTTTTGTAATTTTAGATTGCATATTATTATTTCTTTGTCAAAATATATTTATTTAATTTCCACGAGATTATTACGGCTAGTGAATGGGAAGTTACTTTTAAAGTAACTCATTGCAGTAAAATACCATTACTAAGCAACTTTTCGTTAATTTTCGGTTACTTTTTTAAAATCAATCTAAAAAATGTACTTTTGCAATATTTTTGTTTAAATGTTGATAAAAGCAATATACAATAATGACATTCTCTGTAGCTTTATTTTTTAGTTTTTTTCTTCAAAACATTATTACATCATAACTCTAAAATATGTATAAAATATACGACAAACTGAGATATCTATCCGACATATCACGTAAAAATATAAAATAATTCCAATTGTGAATTGTATCCAATCACGTGTGCCAAGTAACGATAAAAATTGTACAATTCGTTACCGTCACTAAAAAAATGTAACTACATTACCGTTAGAGCTACTAAAAAAAAGAAAAGTAACGCCCGCAGGTATCAGAGAAGTTATTCAAAAAGTAACTTGTAAAACTTTGTTACAAGTAACGAGTTATTTCCATTCTTTGATTATGGAAATATTTTGTAATCGTTGGAAACATTAAATATAGGCACATTAAAAAATATGTTAAATATTATATACAGGGTGTCATTAATCGAGCGAATCACCTATCATGAGCAGGTAGAGTAGACCGAACTGAGTCGAAAAGTCCTGTACCATTTTGAGATTGCAGCAATAGTTAACGAGATATTAATTTTTAAAGATTGGCGAATACGCGCGTCCGTTCGGCCTACCACACATTGAATGTACGCCTACAGAACGCCGCGATGGAAGGGTGTCATAAAATTCGAAGGTAATATTATTACAGTGTAAAATTTACAATATGAAAAATCAAGTAATAAAAATATAAGCCCTTTGTCCGTAAAGTATTTTTTTAAGTATAAACGTTTAAAGTACGACTAATCATAAGTGTTAGTTGAAATAAATCATTGGTCCGTGTGACATGCGTGCAATGATATAGATACTGAATAAAACATTGCCACTGCATGCATATTATCACACGCACAGACAATTTTTTAATCAATACTTATGATTATAGTTAAAAACTTTAAATATTTATATTTAAAAAACTATACTTAAAAAACTTTACAAAAAAAATGGCGTACACTTTTATTATTTCGTTTTTTATAAACTTTTATGCAGTAATAATTTATTATCCTCAACAATTCTAGAACACCCTGTATATAATCTACATTAAGAAAATAAGCTGATAAGAAATTTATTTCTATCTCTGTTTTAGATGAATGCGGATGGAGAAATTGATGTGGAAGCAGCTCGTGCTAATCTGGAAAAACATCAGATATCGCCAGAAAAAATTGAAGAAATAATTAATGCATGTAAAGACGTCAGTAAGTATAACATGAATTTAAGAGCCAAGATCAACTTTTATCCGTTTACAGAACTGACTATATTGTGATATCATGGCGGTCTTCTCAACTATTTTTTTCTCAAATAAAAATAAAATAAAATACTGAAATTATTTCAGCTGGAACCGGTTGTGAAAAGGGACGCGATGTGCTTAAATGTTTCATGCAATTCCATGAACAATGATAAGCATCATGATTAAGCAAGCCAAATTCAGCAAGAAAATCTAATTGGACTTACAGAAAGAGATTTTAATGTCATCTATCGTCTATTATGCTTTAGATGACATTAAAATATTATTTTGCACTTGTGTCAGTTATACAAAGCGCTGTATTGATAAAAAAATAAATACACGTTTCGTTTCAGCATAGAACAAGTCCTTCTAAACTTTCCTCAAATAATAAGATTTATTATACATAGGACATAATTATACAATGGATGAGCTTTTAAATTCATCGATTTTTTTTTATATATATAATAATTTTTTACTATAAATACACATGTAATAACAATTTTACTATAAATACATTTTAGGTGTTTTCACCTTAGAGCTTTTTTTGTTGACAAAACTGATGTGCACTCAGTGCACATTAAAGCCTTTGTGGTACATTACTCTAATCTGAATGTAAAAATAAAATATCTTAATTGATAAAATGGCAAATGCATTATTGTATGTTATTTTACTAAACAGTATAATAAAATGTATTGAAAATTTCGCGATTTATAACTCGTTCCTATATATTTTTATTATAAACATATATTTTTAAAACATATATATTTTAAAACATATATTTTTAAACATATATTACAGCGGTCCATTCTATATGTCGATGCTTTAAAGTGTATTGAGTGCGCAGTAGTTCTGCCAATGATTGCCA